TTGAGGAACATAAAGGTATTGAGGAACATATAGGTATTGAGGAACATATAGGTATTGAGGAACATATAGGTATTGAGGAACATAAAGGTATTGGGGAACATAAAGTTATTGAGGAACATATAGGTATTGAGGAACATAAAGGTATTGAGGAACAAATAGGTAGTGAGGAACACATAGGTATTGAGGAACACCTTGAGGAACATAAAGGTATTGAGGAACATATAGGTATTGAGGAACATATAGGTATTGAGGAACATATAGGTATTGAGGAACATAAAGGTATTTAGGAACACAGGTATTGAGGAACATATAGGTATTGAGGAACATAAAGGTATTGAGGAACATATAGGTATTGAGGAACATAAAGGTATTGAGGAACATAAAGGTATTGAGGAACATATAGGTATTGAGGAACATATAGGTATTGAGGAACATACAGGTATTGAGGAACATATAGGTAGTGAGGAACACATAGGTACAGGGCAACCTATAGGTACCAGGAAACATAGGATCTGGGGAACATAGGTACCATGGAACATCAGTATGAACCCCTCAGATTTCTCTCCTCTCAGCTGAAGTTACTTAGTGGAGCTGCTGCAGTTCTTCATGCTTCTGATTCATTCATCCCCATCAATTATTTAAACAAAACTCACACCGTCTTCTCACACATAATGCATGACTAGAATCTATTTTTGGGTCAGGCTTTTTTATTTTTCTCCTTTGCTCATAAAATCAAAGCACCCTTTTTCTCTGGTGTCTTTGTTTGTCTGCCCCCACAGGTCCCGGTGCAGTCGTGGTTTGACGACATGACAGACACGGAGCTGCTGGATCTGATCCCTCTGTTTGAGGGTCTCAGTAAAGAGGAGGACGTTTACAGTTCCTTACAGAGCCTGAGGAACAGGTAGCAGATGGTTTACCTGCCTTTGCCCTGCTGAACAGGAGCCTCTGTAGTCCCCCTCCGGTCCCTCAACAAACCGGGTCACTGGTGACTAACCGGTATCTCCTGCTGATCCATGGACTCTTCTCCGGGACTCTTACGAACAAATATATTACTGTATGTAAATAGTAAATGTTTCTAAAAGGGAAAATAAAATGTCCAATAATTTTTTATCAGAGAGGCAGTTTTACTATGTTATTAAGATTCTGTGAGAAATATTTTAGTTAATAAAACAATCAAATTCATGGAGCAGTTTTTTTTGTTTTTTTTTTACAGGAAGTGACTTTTTTGTTGTATTGAGCAGTTTTCTGCAAGTTTGATGATCCAAATTTTGGTTCCAACAACTGTGATTTTACCTTTTCTTACAGAATGAAGTGCCTTCATTACTGTGCCGGTTTTGTTGTGTCAGGTTATGGGCTGCACGTTTTTAATCCTGTGTTTTCACTCAGATCTACGAAAATCCTTTTATGTAAAAAAATTAAAATAATTTAAAAAACGGAGTCCTTTCAGGAACATTTAATCTGAGTAAAGTGAAACAAGTAATTTATAGAAATTTATGAAAACATTGGACCCAGATGATTACATGGTTCTGAGTTTAGTAGCATTGAATTGTGGAATTCACTGGAAAYGTGATTTGTGGATGATTCGATCTTYGGCAGTGACTGTAAATGAAACTCTGAAAATCTGTTTTGCTTTTTGAAGGAAACACAATTTGTGTGTGATCACCGTCCACCAGTAACTGACCAGTTTGTAGTTCCAAATATGCGAAGCAGCAGAGCTCAGAGCGTCTTTTGAAACAAATGCGTTGCAATGGAAATGCCATTGAAATTGAAAAAAATTCAACAAGCTCAAAACGCAGATTTAAAGCTGAAAGCCATTTATGAAAAATCACCTGATCTTTAAAAGAAAGTTTAACACAAATCAGTTTAGAYGAGTACATTGTGTCTGTATAATGGTGTAAATTTACAGGTTGAATTTGTTCAGTTTTAATGGTGTGACTATGTAGCAGCCTTTGCATTTGCATAGAAAGACGTACAGCTCGGCTGATTCACGCAATAACTTGTAACTACAAAATGGTCTAATGTCAAACTCCTAATGAAAGTCTAAAAAAAATAAAGATTAGTTTAAATTCTGTCTATTTGGGAGGGGGGGGTGCATTTGTAAAGAAAGGCTTTTGGCATTGTACTGTACAACATGATTAAAGTTGCAAGTTTGCACACTGTTGGCATGTTTTCACAATGTTTTGACTTTAATGTATTATTCAGAGTAAATCAGAATGCGAAAAATAACGGATTAGCGAGACGGTTACAAATTGGACTGCTGCTGTTTGGATATTTGAATATGACTCTTATCACRTCAACTCAGTATGACATCTAATTTTCTGGTATTTTAGTAAACAATACTGTCAAGCTAACTCAAATAAAGATATATATTATTATCTAGATCAGAGGTTCTCACACTGGGGTCCAAGGACCCCCAGGGGTCCGCGAGATGTATCTTGGGGTCTTCAAAATGTTTCACTAAATTGTTAATTTAGTTATTATTTTTAAAAATGCAAGAACAATGAAGTACTAAAACAAACATAATAATTTATATATATATATATAT